ACATGCCATTGAGGAGCTTTGAGTTTCAAAGTGTGGTATATGACTCTTGTCTTGGGAAAGCAAAATAGTTTGCCATCAGCAGTGGGGGACTCCCTAGAATAGTGGCAGAATGATGTTAGAAAAGATGGTATCTTAGAAAGACACCAAAACCCAAATCAAGAAGATGAAGCTGAGGCAGGACCCACAAACAAATGCTGAGGTGCAGCCATAAGAGGAGCTCACACGCATATGCTCTCCTGTGCTCCCACAGCAACAGCCATAGACTCTCAGGGGCTCCACTGGAAATGTCCAGACCCTCTGAGAAGTACAGCATGTTGACAAGACAAATGGCAACAGCATCCTCACGCAGCTTTCCACTCCACAACTTGATAGCTTCATAGTTGTCTGCTATAACGACTGTGATCAATTACACAACTGTCACATTCTGCTCAAACGAGGGAGACAAGTAACTTAGATTCATAAATTCCCAATGGAGCAGACAATGGTAAGACAAATCTCAAAGTCCAGACATTTATTAATTTACCACAATGTACTAACTGAATACATGATAATTAACTAAGTATATAATGAACTATGGCAAGTGTAAGAGTCAGTCAGAAGATCAGCATCGTCTCAACATTGTCATCAGGGACATGGACAGTGAGGTACCTGACAACGGCCTGCTTGGCCTTGCCGATCCCTGGAGTGGAATGTGGTGCCAAGGCTCCTGAATGCAGAACTGTGCGGCACAGCGAGTGCTGGGCTGTTCTCCTGAGCACTGACCCATGTGGTGCAGGCGGTGCTGGGCTGTTCTGCGGTGCCTGAGCTGTGCAGTACAGAGTGCTGGGCTATTGTTCGGTACCTGGGCCTAGCCAGAGCTGTTAGAGATAACCGCAGAGCCACTGTCAAAAAAGATGGATCGCAACTGTTGCCATAACATCGATGAAGAAATCATGAACCTTAGATGAACTTTGCTTCATTATCATACCAAAACACACCTCCTGGTGGAAGGCTGCCTGCCTCCAAGACTGACCACGCCTTGGATGCCTCTCCCTTTGCATGTGTGGTGGCCTCGCTGAAGAAGGGCGGAGACCCCTGAGGCAGAGGTGGAGCGAGGTGTGTTACTGAGCATACAAGGATGACTTCTGGACAAGGAAAATTGGAAGCTTCCCCACCAAGGACCACGACGATCGACAATGCAGCATCAGCTGGACCCAGGACCGTTAGGACGTCGTGAGATCAGTGGTGGTAGCTATAATCTCTGTCCCCTCTCTCTCTAAAACTTTACTTTACTTCTCTCCTTTCTTTCACCCGTCTCTATCGCGTGCCGCTTCACGGGCAACACAGTAAAGTTTCACTGTTTTATTACTGCTATTCCCTTTGGTGTCGGTTCCTTTAATTTTGCACTTTCGAGATCGTAGCAAATGAACCATCACAAGTCCACCGAGTGGACCATTGACACAGAGGCAACATTTTCAGGAGCAGTATCTTCCTAAGCAACAGAGGGAGATTTTGTGAGCTTTGTATGAAGATGAAACCAACCCATTACTCTTCTTCTGTGACAGTTCAACAGGTCATAAGAGAACAAAGTGTATCTGTTTTAATCTTAGGAAACAGAAGAATCCATTACAACCGACAGAATTGTGGAATTCGGAGAAGAGATTATGGTACTGAATTAATCTCCCCAATTTGGGGTGGATTTTTTTTGTAAGAGTGGGATTTTTTTTTCCCCATCTGTGTAAATGGATTTCAGCTGTACATTTGAGGCAGGTATGATTGAGGCCTCTTTAGGGATATTTCAGGGGAATATTTATTATTTCCTATCCTTCCCAATCCCAAAAGAAGAATGGATATTTCTAGTCCGTTACATACCTTAGAGAAACTGAGCTTATTTATAAAATGATTCAGCTTCCATACTAACACTGGCATAATTTTCTTTCTGTTTGTCTGTCTGCCTATCATAAGCTTGAAGCTCATGATGCATACCTCCCTGTCTGTAAGAGATTCATTTTATTGATGTCTTGATCTATAGTAGAGCATGGCTTTACACTTTATGGAGCAACAGGTTAAGGCAGCAGGATGTTTAGCTCCGATTTACCAAACATCTTTTCAGGAAGATCACAGTGATGGTTCAGACATGCTTCTAACTAGGAGAAATAAAAACCAGCAAGTTCTGAATTCCAAGAATTACTTTCCAAGCCAAATATTTGTGGAAGTGCTGACAATTATGAACACATGCCTCAAGAAGCTGCATCAGGTAGTCTTACTCTTCAAGTCATTGATTGAACTTAGTATTTTTCCTGGTTATGTTCACATCTTGAGCACTGGCTAGTAAATGAAAAAATGTTATGTTGCTTTCTGTGGGAACAGTCATCTTATTTCTCAACTAATAGACTGAATGTCATGAGGCTGTCAAAGGCAAGATGTTTTGCTTGGCAGCTTCATCAGCCACAGTGATCTGAGCCATTTTAGTCTTGTGCAGGTGTATTTGTTTCAGTGATCTTAGTTGTCCATGGAAACTGGAAATTTAGAAGTAAATTTGTGCTGAAACCTGTAGCCCAAGAGGTTGCTGTGCAGGTGAAAGAAAAGATTAAGAGTGAAGTCATGCAGAATAAACTAAACTGTGTCCAAAGGAAGGGCAGTTCTGAAAAGCAGGCAGCTATGAAAGGGAACGGTTGCATGGTGTAACTGGGATGTCTGGCATCATATTCATCCTACAGTCCTGATCTTGGGGCGGAAAAAACTAGAGGCATTCACAAATACAGTTGGCCATTGAAGGCCTCACAGTAAGAACTGAATGTTTCTGGAGATGTCTGAATGTCGTTGCTTGCACCCAGATGTAGTTCACTTTTCCAGAATCGTTGCTGAGCACAATGATTTATTTCTTTCTAGCCAAAGAGTAGAACATCATGCTATCTCTTAATTTTTCTTTTGCATGAAATCAAGTTACTATCTTGCACACACTGAGGCAATGAAAATTAGTCATAAGTGATGAACAAAGGCTAACACCAGCTGGTTTTCATTAGATAGTGTTGTGTCTGCAAACACAATCCAATAGGATGACTGCATTTACTACCTGAATCTGCTCTGCATATTTTTAGTATCAGTAAGACACAGATGGTTCTCAAGCTGTGCATCAGGCATCACCAAGATTTTTAAAAAAATTTCAGGACTATGCCTCCAGCTCTATCGACATTAGCATTTGATGAATGATCATTTCAGTTACAGCAATACTATAAATCTATTCAATGTAGTTTCTGTCCTGGCTTTTAGAGATGGCAGCACTGCTTACCAAATGGCACACTGGATATTGGAATGTAGGGAACTAACAAATATTCCACATAAATAACTCAATTTACTTAAGTTAGGCTGCTTATTCTCCTGTTTTCTATCTTTCCTCCAATCCCTTATCACATTTCGGATCTGAGGAAGTGACAGATTTCGGATCTGAGGAAGCATCCCAGAGCGCCTCAATTCTTCTATAGCCTTGTCCTTTTTGGAGTCAGGAAGAGCAGGGGGAGATGAGAGCAAGCTGTGCAAAGGGCCCTGGTACGACATTTTCACTGTTAGTTTCATATCTGGCATGTTTGGTGAGGAAGGATGAGCAGTATCCCACAGAATTCTGGTAACAAACAAGTGATCTTTATTTTTAGTTGGAATTTTATGAAAATATGGAAAGACAGTTATAACAAAATAATAGAGGGAGCATTAGAAGGATGTTTTGTTCTTCCTCCACAGTTTAGCAGAACTTTGTTATATTGTCTATATTTTGTATGTATTTGAAATATACTTATTTTTCCCAGTGTGCATAATTCTGATACCTGTTACTCTTTGATCTGACAGTACTGATGGTTCAGCAGAAAAGTCAAAGTATGCTCAAGTAATTATGACCCATGGCCTTTATTGATCTCTTCTGCTTTTTGTGTTATCAAAACTTGGAGCAGGAGAGTTTAAAATCTCCCAGAGAATTTAACACAACATTGTCTCAAATTATCTGGCTCATGCTTCGACATTGGGGAGGTCTGGTGGGTTGTGCAACACATAGGCTATTTTTCAGTTTATGATCAATGTGACTTAGTAAATCAACTAAATGTATACAATTCTAGGTTGCATTCTTCACCGTCTGGGGAGTTAAGTCCATCACATCTCTTGAGAAAGTCACCTCCTTTAACTGTAAACTGCAGCAATGTGAGTATGTCACTGCCTGTAAAAATCTAAAAGTAAAAGGTTAATTTCAGATAGCTCAAAGCCCGTGTTTGAACCAAATTACCCTGACTTGTGTTTTTGTGAGAGAAGCTGTAAGGTACTGCTAACTACTTGGCAGTTATGAAAGCCTTCTGAGAGATGTGACAGAAGCAGAAGTTCCAGTCTCATTTGCAGGTGCATCAGTTAAAGCCTTAAGCTATTCCTGAAGCTGAGAGGACTGCAGTCTCTACTCAGTTATTAGGATCTCTGCTGAAGCTCTACAAATATGCTAAATATGACTGCGAGTCATGTGATGAGGACTCTTCTTGATTTGGAATTGCATTAAAAATTTTGCTAAATAGCCATCAGAGAATAAAAGTGTTTCCACCTGTTCAGTCTGGCAACCTAAAGAAAATACCAGTTCTTGTTTTCTCTCACCTCTACTTTTAATGTTCTTGAATATCCTTTTAAAAATCGATGCTGTATGTTTTGGAATGTTTAAAGTTTTTACTTTGAAAATATTTTAGTAGTCTTAAAATTGATAGAATATGCTGGTTTACTAATCTGGTAGTGCTGGTAACACCACAAACTATAACTATCATAGTTATTGACCATAGCTATGGAAATAATTAACATGTTTTTTACTTAAGTATATTGTATGTTGTGCACTGTACAAACAAACATTTACTTCTTCATCAGCATTTCTTTGAATGTAAATTCCTTTCCATTTAAAGACAGTTTATCTTCCCATTGCAGTTTTTATCTCATAACAGTATATTGTGGATTAGGGATTGTTTTGGCTTCCTCCCTTTTTTTATGATCAGTTCTCCCCTGCCTTACCACACGTCTTTCCCCCTAGGAGCTGGCTGACTTACATTGAACTCCCTAAACCATGCAGAATCTCATAAGAAAAGCTTCATTGTATTCATTGAAGATTTTTCTTTATTCTCTGCTTTGGTATCCCATTTGTTCCTAAAATGCTTTTGTAAAACATTTCAAGTTTATGTATTCTACTAGGAAATTAATAGAAGTTAGGCAACCCAGGAAATCTATCCTGCTAAATTTCATGTATATGTTACATGAAAGAAATGAGGGGGGGGGGGGGGAAATATTTTTTTTTTTCCTGGTATGTTTGTGTAGGATGACTTCCATTTCTGTTGCTAGCCTTATTTTTCTGAAGTGCAAGAAGTAATTTAAAAGTACTTAATTTTTATCATGATGGTAACAAGACGCAAAATAATAGAAAAGACACAAGATTGTAATTCATATAGGTTAATATATAGAGAGTGTGGGAGGTATGAGGGTCTCTTTTAATCTTTAGCTAGAATATGTTGACAAACATGGTGTCACTGGGAATTTGTAGTTTATGATACTAGACATGGAAAGTATATACCAGTACAATTTGTTGTGCTAGATTTATTTGCTGAATATTGAATTAGACCCTCAATAAAGCAGATGCCATCACTGTGAAATACCTTTGACAGATGTGTAAGTAACACTTTTTATTTAAGCCAAGTCCAGTGCTAGTGACCTCCTAAAAAAAGGTTACTTTTAAATGCAGTAGATCTGCCTGTTGATGCATATTTTTTATTTACTCTATTTTGTTCTTAATATTTCAACAGTGATTTATAATGTTTTTGTAATGTGATAATTGTGACTGAATTTAGGATTTAATTCTGTCCCTTTTGTTACTTCTGTTCTTTCAGGTGCCCAATAAAGAGTTGATTCAGTTATGTTCTTCAGAAACAGAAGTTCTAGAGACTTCGAGAGACCAGGGTGCTACTCCCTTTTCCACTAATGAAACTCTCCTCAGTAAGATTTACTTCTCTTGTGGATATTTTTTGGGTTGCAGGGGAAGAAATTTCTGATAAATGGCGTAATTTTTGAGTGCACCACTTTACAATTTAAATGTGGCTGTAAAAAGATTTGTCTGTCTGAAGATGATTCTTAAAACAGATATGGTTACCACTGGAAGGGAAACAATAAAATTTGACCAGTGATTAAAAATCTCATGACAACAATAACATCCTGTAACAGAAGTTTACCATTGCATTCTTGCATGCCGCAGTTTTAATTAGGTATTTATTAGTTCTCCTTCCAGAAAAGAGAGATGGGTAAGGAAAAGTATTTTGGTGTCAAATAAGGGAACTGGCTGTAATTGCATAACTATTGTCCTTTTAACTATCTCTTTCTTACCTTCAAGCTATGAACAGTCAATATAAAGGGCTAGTCAAAATGTTTCAGAAAGATTTTTTTTCTTTTTAGTTTTCTTTTCCCTCATTCAAGCATGCACTGAGGCAGCAGTTAATCTGGATATAGGATTCCCTGGCCCTATAAGAGGAGAATGCCATTGTTTAATTTTTAACATAAAGGGCAAAGTGCTATAAAAGCAATGTTTATGCTTATCCTGTATTTCAGCTCTTAGAAACTTTTCCATCTCCCTCGTTTTCTTTCAGTTACTAGAGATTTATTTATTTATTTATAACCTATGGCTTTCTTCCAGTTTAGCTATGAGCCTGTTACAAAAAAAAAAAAGCAACCAACCCACAAAAAAAGCTAATCCTCAAGTAAGGGTTTGGAAAAGAACAAACAAAAAAAATCCCCAACATTTTATCCAAGGTAGGCAAGGAAACGTTTTTCATTGATACTTGAGCTAGAGCATTTTACCTTACTGTTGTTAAAAGCAAGAGTATAGTGCTGATTTCTAGAGCTAACACACAATAACTAGAAAGGTTTCTGGAGTGCATCAGCATAGTACATCAGATGAGAATTCAGGTACATGACTGTGTTTCTCACTAAAGTAACATAAAGTAGAAAGCAGTTTTCCACTTCAGTAATATGAACTTCACTGCATGGGCACAAATCTTACTAGCTAGCAGTTGGAAGCAGTCCAGTGGATTGTCAAGACTTAAGTCATCTTCTTAAATCAAGTTATGTATGTCCTTATAACTGTCTGTGGACAACTATTATTTCTATGACTTGATTTTTTTTTAACATTTACATGTAAATGTTTGCCTTGACTTCAAAGTAAGATGCTGTTTAAACACAAATATGTTTTGAAAGTTACCATACTCTTCATGCTTTTTATTGCTTACAATAATATTTTAATGATATTATAGGTGGCAATTCTCAGCTGGAATTTGATGCAATATGTGAAAATGATGACACTGCTATGACAGCTCTTATGAATTATTTGGAGGCTGATGGAGAACTTGAGGATCCAGCTGAGCTCAGTGATATACAGTGGGCTTTTTAGTCTTGCTTTCTCAAAATAAAAAAGGAATGTAAAATTCATAATGCACAACAACCATACATCCTCAGTACTGTATTATAATTTTTTTATGTTTCATCTGAATTCATACTTACTGTCTATATCTTTTTAAAGACTGAAGCCTTGTTCAGAGAGAGACAGTTTCTGCTACACCTATGGAAAAATGCAATATTTTTTTCACGATGGATAAATCTTGAAATTTTAATATCAAACCATCTGTAACTGGAATGCTTAAAAGACATTACTATATTTTTGTTAAGACTCTTTAACCAAAAGGTACTGTACAATGTACAGGAATATTTTTTCTTAGTTTTAATACTTAACCTTTTATTTATTGTTTTTGTTTCAAATGGTAGTTTACTGATTATCCTTGTTACTTTCTGTAGAACCTACTGTACTTATACAGTTTAAGTATTTGTAACTATTTAATTGAAATGATGATTTGTACACACTACGGTTGTAAAATAAGGTATTGTAATTTTCAAATATTGCAGTTTGTGATTCCTTGCCATTTTCAGAAGTGTGATTTTTGTAGTCAGAAGTGAAAATAAAGCATACAGTTATGGGAGCAAGGATTTGAATTAGATCACATAACTGTCAGAAGAGAATGTTTTGAGAAAAACAGTCACTTCTCCAGTATGCAACTGGAAGAGCAACAAAAAAAAGCACAACAAAATCTTCACTACTATTTTGTATTATTTTTAATGTATTATTAGAGGAACAGTGCAGACCACCTAAGAAAAGTAATGCTACAACTGTAATAAAGCACTTTGATCTCATCACAGATTTACTAACTAGAAAACTAACTAGAAAATGTAGAATAGATAGTCTTGGTTCCAGTGTGAGGCTAACACTGTTAGTGAAAAGTATGTTTTATATCTCTATGTTTTCAGAGAGATTAGGGTGATTCTCTGTTGCTTGAGTCTCTGACTTTAAAATATTGTAATCTAGTGCTGTCTGTAAGTGAACACTATATAGGATGGTTTCTTTTGAGGGACAACTTTTGCAAGAGTTGTATCCCAGTTGCAGCAAATTACTCGAGAATATGGCACTTAATAGGTTGTATTAGAAACATATAGCATTAATATATAAAGTGGATCTTTTAACCCTGATATTAATGGTTTAGACAAATTTTTGCATCAGTTATATGTCATAAGCATAGTTTTTCTGATTTTCGGTTTGGGGTTTTTTGTTTGTTTTATTTTTATTTTATTTGGGTAATGAAAAGAAAGCATTTGAAGATATTTGATACCCATGTGTATTTTGAATATAGACATTTAAACATAGTGCTTACGACCATAAGCACATGCCATTTGTTTTAACACTAAAGGGGAGCGATGGGCAGCCTGTTTCAGATATATTTACGGAGACCAAATTGTGTGAACAAACAGACACAACAGCCGCTGGGTGTCACATGGCTGCCGTGGGATAACTGTCCTTCCCTGAATGAATACAGGATTTTGTTGTGCACTGAATTTCTACACTTTGACAGAGAAGCTTATATCTTACAGATATGAATTGTTTTGCAAATGATTAATTTTTTGGTAACATCTTGTCCAGATTGTCTAGAACAGCTTCTTGGATTGATTTTTTTAAGTTTTTTTTTTTTTTTTTTTTTTTTTTTTTACAGACATGGGGCCAAAATTATATGTTCTCTAGCTTTATTAGAATATACTTTTCTGTTTCTTCACAGAAAATGAATTTTGGGCTGTATTGTGGAACAAAATGAGAAAAATAGGCACTTTCTAAGAATTGGTAGATATCTATTTGTATAATGATATTTGAGAATTTCAGGTTTTGTCTTTGTAAAATGCATTTTCAGTTTTCTGTTTTATTCTAGGAATAAATTCTAAATATAACAAGAAATGCTGTAGCTAACACATAAATAGTAAACAAATAAGATTATACAGACTTTCCTCAACATAGTTTCTTTTTTCAACTGAATTAGTCTGAAAATAGTGCAGGTATTGTTATTGAAGGAGCATGTTAATTCTTTCACAAGATTTATATAACCATCTAGAGTCAAACCACCATTTTTGGATTCTTCTTGATTTCCCTAAAAAAAATAAACCCAAAACCATAACTTTGAGTTTTTTGTAGTCAATGATCGGTATTGTGGCTCTCAATTAATTTATTAGATTCTCCCTTTACTATTCATGAATTTTCCTGGCTTAAAGGAGTCTTATGGGAAAAAATGTCACTTGTAAATATTTGTGACATTAATACATATTTTTGAATACAGTTGAGATAGTATGTGCTTATTTCTGTTCATATAACAATACAATTCTAGTAACATATGAACAGGTTTTCTTCATGTCATGGTGCAGGTTATCAGAGGATGTGGTTAAATCAGGTCAATAAAACATTCTTTCGATGTGTTGCTGTTCATTTGCTGACAGTTCTGCCTAATACTGAATTGAATCACAAAGTATTCATGCTTTCAGATCCCAGGCTCATTCCCTAAAAATACAAATGGGGAAGTTGTACGAATGTGGATTTTGGTAGCTCAAGATGATATTCCCTAGCCAGGGGAACTTTGTAATCCAAGCTAACATGCATTTTCTAGGTACTAAAACCTTGATGTTGCAGCTTAATTAGGCTATCTCTGGAAAGGAGAGTGCCTTTAGTCATCTTGCTGGTAGGTATGGTGAGTGATAAAGTGTGTGTCAACAGGCTCTTAAAAGTTTTATTAAATTTACCAGGGTTGTACATGGGGATGGGTCAACTAATTTGTTACTGAGGGCACATATGGAGTTAAGAAAATCTTGATGGAGAGGTGTTCTGATATAAGCAGCAGCTTATTTTGGAAACCACTTCCTGTGCTGCCAGGCAAACATGAGAAAATTCTTTTCAGAATTAGGAGCAGGGAGTGAGAATGTGGTAAAGACCAATCCTGTATGGGTATTGTTGGAATGAGAGTGGTCTGGCTGGATGGAAGGTAGCCCTTGGCTGTGGCCAACTTGAGCTAGGTCAGAGGTAGATAGCAGGAATACCTGGACTGCTGTGTGGCACACAGGATCAAAACAGGGCTTCCAAATACCCTCATGTTTTACAGTGATGAATCATGAAGATATCAATGTATTAAACCTTGACTTTTACATTTCCTATAACAGTATTTCACAGTTGGTGTTGTGGGGGCAGGGGGGGATTGTCCTTGTTCAGCTAGGATAGGGTTAAATTTCCCCATCAGGGAGGGGGAAGGGATCTCCAGGTGGGTTATTCATACCATGCCGATGTCAGGTCTGGCGCATCAGCACGGGAAGCTTTCCTTGTGGCTTTGGTCGTGGGAAGCATGCTAAACGGGCTGTCTGTATCCATTGTCGTATTTCTCTGTATATATTTTGTCTTGTTTACTGTTATTACTGTTGTATTATCACTATCGTTGTTATTCAGATTGTTTATTACACTGTTGTATTAAATTTCTTCTTATATTAACCCAGGGTTTGTGCCCTACTTGTGTCCAAAGGTGGGAGAGGGACAACGTCAACGTGGTCTCTGGTCCCAGCAGGGCTTAAAACTATCACAGGGATCCTTTCTGTGCTCTACTGGATGTAATTGTTTCTTGGGATTCCCTCACAGCACAGCATCAGTCCATGTTTCTTGTGGTGCATTGTCATTCTGGACTTTTCTGTGGATCTTTTGCTTTTTAGAGTATTGGAAAACTTGGTTACTCACAAGCACAAAGGGCTAAAGTTAGTAATTTTAGTAATTGCTTCTAGCAATGTGTTCCTGTCCATGATCTGAACAATTGAAGAATTTATTCTTGCATAAATGGTGCTGCTTCTCTGCAGACCCTGACTTCTGGCCTGTTTCACTTAGTCTTTTGATTTCTTTCTGTGGATGTATTGTGTAAATTCATAAAATGTCAGAATTCCAGGAAGTAATCATGAACTGGAAAGCTTTGTGCCAGTTAGGACTTCTCTGAAGATGATAATTTTATTCCCCATCCCTGATGAGAATTATTTTGTTCTGTGTAGATATGGAGGTTGAGAAGATACTTGGGGTTATAGGTTCTTGCAGGTTAAAAGATACAAAACCATGTTTCAGCAGGAGTGGTGAATGAGTGGAGAAATAAAGCAGTAGCACATTTTGTGTGTACCTCATTTCTAAAAGAGTGATCTAGATAGCTCCCCTGTATTGTGACAAATGGCTGTCATGACTAGATTTTCTGGGTTGTTCCTGGCTTAATTGCTCTCAGAAACTTCCTGTCTTCCCTATGAGGAAAAGACAGACTTCCTCAGACATGACAAAAATTTTCACCTCCTTTGGAATTAGCCAGTTTTACGGGTGCAGGTCCTGTGCTCCTGAGGAACTGCTGTCAAGCTGTATCAGCCTACTACACTGGGGAATAAAAAAACCCCAACAACCAACCAAACAAAAAGACAGTTAAGGGCCCTGACAGCTGTATATATTATGTGTCAGCTTCTGTGAAGTGCTTTTACCTTAGGTTAAATGAAACCTCAGCATGCCTGATTTATTCAAGGATAAGTTCACATACATGGGCAGTTACTACGCATAACTTTTTATTCTTCATTTGTTTTCATGTCAAAACCTTTAGAATTAGTCAAATAATATTTGGAAATCGTAAAAAGTGTCATATTTCTCTCACAATATTGTCCCTGTCTGAGTGGAAAGTTTTCTTCCCCAGCATTTGCAGATCCCAAGTGTATATGACCTGACATCAGTAATCTGCCCTACCAAACTTAGGGAACTTTAGCACAACTGAAAGTAACATGATTAATGGACTCTTGTAACAATACTCTATCAGTGTGTTTCTAGAAAGGAGTGTAAAGTGAGCAGCAGAACTTTGAACTGTACAGTATCTCCAGGTAATACACAGTGCTTTTAAAGAACAAATCTGACTCAACGACTGCTTCTTTCATAAATCTTACAGATAGGGCTATGTTGTAGAGAAGACAATAGTAACGGGGGTTTAGTATTTAGACAAAATAATTTGAGTTGACAAAAATTCTTTAACAGGAGTTGTTCCATCCTTAGATTTTGTCTTGTCAAAATAGGATAAGCAAATTGGTTTCTTAATCCCTCACATTCCATACACATTTAATTTGCCAGGTCTTTAAGAGTACTCTTTTTTTCTGCAAATGTAGTTGCAGTATCAGATAATGGTTTTGTTATCACTGAAGAGATGGTAAAAAAACACCACACAAACAAAAAAAAACCAGACGTGAATTTAGTGTTGTTTCAGCAAGATACAACCAGCTGCTAAACACTTGTGTTTAGCACAGTGCTGAACAATGAATCAGAACATCGCACTATTCTGGCTTCTAAGAAGAAAAATCAGCCCTATCAAAGCTGAAACCAGGGCAACTTGTTCTGAAGAGCTCTGGACTGTTTGCACTTCATTCTGCATGGAAGGTAAGAGCAGCTGCCGTGTTTGACTGCTTTTCCTATTGCTGGAAAAGCCACTTCTCTCTGTTTTGGCTCCTGCTATCTTCATTTGCTGATTACTACTTCAATTTGTGGATGGCTGCATCTGATACTGGAAGAGACAGCAAACAGTTGTTTCTTATCTTCTGGCTCTATGCTACTCATGACTACTTAAGTTTTTATGACAGTCCCCCTTTATGAACCCCCAGCTGTAAACCTTCTTAAATCATAGTTTTTCAGAGCTATCTTGCTTGTGGTTTATTATAGAAATTCACAGCTTGCTCCTAGATTGTCTTTTTAAAAGAAACCATCATGTATTTAGTTTCCTTTTATAACTCTTGGGGGCATTTTGTATCCGAGTTCCATAAGGAACTTGGTTTTCAGCATAAAAACGTGTATCTCAGAAATCAGACATCATTATTCCAGAGTTCTTACAGTTGTTTTGGTAGAAAGCTATGGGAAAGACTCCAGTGTGTGTAAGTTGCAGATAAACAGAAAGATCAAATGGAGTGAAACTCCAGATACTGTTGAAGCAAAAATACACATTTTTACAAAAATAAACAAACAAACAAACAAACACACATACACACAAAAAAAAACCCACAACAAACCAAAACCAACACCAAAACCAAAAACCCCCCAAAAAACAAAACCACAACAAAAGGACAGTCAAGACAACTACTTATATAAACCAACTACAGTGCAATTATATACCATTCTATAAGGACAATGCTTGTAGTAGC